TGGCTGCAATATAACAAAGAGTGAAAAATTGAAGGGGGTCTGAATACTTTCCGTACCCACTGTATGTACACTGAGATGAAAACTGTCCATACTTGGAATTTCTTTTGACAATGAAGGTCCTCGTCACGCATTGGCTTGTAGTCAAGCTATGAAGCCATCTTAAAGCTCCTCCATTTCAGATGAAGCGAATCAATTAGTTCTGTTTGTTAAGAGCTGATCTGGAAGATATTAGGATCATTGCATGTTTGGATAAGCCGTTGCAAATGTCGTGCTAGTAATCCAGAGTCATAAGCCAGAACCTGCAAAGGAACTTTGCATTTTCAGAGTTCTCTCCTGATTTGTTAAGCTTATCCTGAGGGTTGTCTTTTGGCATCTTTAGCTAGTATAACGAAAACATCTGCTTCAGCCCTCTTGGTCCCTTACAGAAGCTCTTGGTTGTGAGATTTTTGCTGCATCTGTCATTAAGCACTGGATGATCTGCCAGAAGAGACATCTCTTTCACAGTTTGAATTCAGTCAGTAGTCATCATCTCTGGATGATTGCCTCCCCTTTGCACCCATTCCGATTTACCGTTCTGATTTTATATTTGAGCATGTTGAGTAGTAGGGGATTTGGATCGGAAAGGGCCTCAAGCTGGGATTCAAACTCTGATCAGGTGGCCACATGGCTATCAGCTCTTACATTTGACTTCTTTTTTAAAATCTTTATAATGCAGCATGCATATAATCCATAAGGCTAACGACACCTTGATTGTATTATTTTGTATAAAGTAAATCCTGGAAAGGTTTTTTTTTAAATTTTGTGCTAGTATTTATTATGCATTGTTTGTATTTCACTTTGAAATAGTTCCAGCATTAAGTATATTCTGGCTAAAGAAGGAAATTATGTTTGGATAACAAAGTGTAGATTCTAGTAAGCTTTGGGTTTCACTTTTACTCCACATTTGGATTTCAGTTTTTAAGTTCCCCTCAAAATTCCTTTGTTCTGTTTTAGGAAAAAAAGAAAAAGAACATCAGTGTTTTCAAAGTAAGATGATCTGATCTTATGGAAAGGAAAATAATAATTGTACAGACACGACATGATATTAATCAGAAAGGACAAAGAGAAATGGGCGAAGAAACTTAATTTCCAGTAACTCAGACATTGCACATACCAACTTGAAAACGAATGCAGACGAGTCATTCTAAATGATAAAAGCATGTCCTTGAAAAGCAGCTGAATTATAGTCCTTAGAAATACTGGTCACACTGTGAAATTGGACTTCATCCATGATTTTATTTGTGAAAGGGCATTTGTCTGCAGACTCAGAAGGAGCTTCTGACTATTAGGCCCTACGGCAACAGCAGTGAGTGATGTGAATTAACACTCACCAAGCATGTAAAACCAAAAGAATATTTTTGTTTGTTTGTTTTACTTGGGTTACAGGGTTGTGCTTAACAAATGCAGTCAACACTACCGTTTGTGTAAAAATTGGAAATGTAATATTTAATTAGTATTTAATATTTAATTTTTATAATTTGTAATTTATTAATCACTTGTCATCCTGCCATGTCATAGTGTCCAAATAATGTTACTTCATAAGTATCTAAATTTTAAGGAATATTACTTTTTTAATGTGTTAACATGATTGTGTACAAAATGTATTCTAAAACTAATTTATTTAGACATCTAATTGAACTGCAAAGGGTGTACTCATGGTGTTAATTTTCTTAAGCAGAATAATGTCATTTTCTCTGTCTCAAGCAGTCAAGCAGACAGAGAAATGAAGAGACGTCTGACTGATTTTTAGAAAGAAATGCCAAAAGTTGCGGTGTGGGTGTTGTACTTTGCTGTGTATTACGAGGACACACTTCACAGCAAAACAAGATGAACCTAAACACAAATTGAAGACAAACTGGCTAAATTAACAAGAGGCTGAGTGAATGATTGTCTGAGTTTGAGCTTCGGAGAGGAAATGGCTTTAGTCTATTGCGATTTTTGCAAGCTCCGGCATCTCTGTGGACACCATACTGCTGCTCTAATAATGAATTTAGTTATTCAATCATCATTAGTCTTAGTGCTGTTGTTTTTGCCTACATGTGTCGGTTTTAATAACGATAATGAAAAGGCTTCCATGGGGAAAAAATGGATGCAGTTTGTGTAATGTGTCACGGCATGCAACTAAAAGTGTAAGAGTTTTTACAGTCCGCATTATTCTTCAAAATGATTATACAGTAAAAGTCCATTCAGGAGAGAGATCAGTACCTCGTTTTGTAACTCGTTTTTGTTTGATTATCTCTCTTTGCTCGATTTAACCTGTGCATTGCTGTAGTGCCAAATGGACCAATTTCAACCATGTGCAATTCTCTCTCTAGACACAGCGAGTGAATTCTCCTCTCCAGAAGTCCAGAGCAGCCGGTTACAGAGAGGT